GTGTGTGTGTGTGTGTGTGTTTTTTGTTTTTTGTGCTTCTTGAGAATCGAAAATTTTATTCTTGACAAAATTGAAAATTCCAATAACCTTCAGTCTAATTTTACCGTCAGATTCTGCATGGCGTCGGCAGTCTCGCTGTTAGGTGACCGGACTCATTATAGATTCTAATAGTTTGATTGTGGGTTTGGAGTTTCGGGGACCAGCTCTGTTCTTGGAAAAGGCATTTCAAATGAATTTTCACATTTGCTTCGAATCTATCAGAGATGGATGTTGAATTCAGATATCCAGCCTCTTAAATAATCTTACAGTGTTGCAATAAATGCTGTTAATCCAGGAAATTAATTTCGCTTTTTTAAATTTCGCTCCAGCTTCTCTATGTACGAAAAGACTGCGATGTGGTGACTTGACCAAAAACAAAAGACTGTTTGTTATTGAGTAAAGAGATGCTCGATACAATAACAGGCATTTAGTGCAGGGGGGAAAAAAACAGATAGAAAGAAAGCAACAGAGAGGGAGAAAAAAAAGATAGGAACTAGCAGTGGTGCCCGCACCAAACAACTGCAGAGAAGCCTTAAACAACTCAAATCAGAAGTTGGCAACACATTGAGTTGGCGAGTGATTAGACCAGATTTATTCTCTCACCCCTGACAGTTTGCTTTGCCATGGTCAGTTCTGAGAATTGACCTGCGACGGTTCGAAGACAAGAGCTGACACGTTTGACACTTTTAATCGCTCAATGTCTTACCCGGAAGTGACTCGGCGGCCATAACGTTCGCCCAGCTGAGTTACGACCAGGCTTATTTTTGGTGGGCCTTTCAAAGGTTCACGTGATTGGCTATGACGTCATGTGACAGATAAGGGGAATGCACGGGAATGCGGGAGAAATGTTCTGCATACCAACACCATGAATGTGAGATTGTGATCGAATAAAGCGTTTGGGTGGCGGAAAGGAGCAGATGAGGTACATTTATACATAATTATTATGGCTTTTGGTAAAGGAGGGGTGAACTTTATTTATTACAATTTATTTATTTTCTTATTAATGAATGAATGAATGAATCAATTAATTTTTTAAATTTAT